GAAGCAAGACAGTTTTGAATAGTCAGTCACCAGTGGGAGCAGCCTTGAGTTGTCTAAGTTGTTATATGTTTTGGGGTTGATGAACTATCTGAAACTTAATTGAGCTGGTGAGCTGAAGAATTTGGGGACTCCTGGGCTAGACAAAGGAAATACTAAAGTGCAGGTGCTGCTACAAAGAACACACATAACAGATCCTTAGCATCACACTATAAGTAGTACTCAAGTTATAGTGGCAATTTGAGAGTGGAATTTCCATCCCTAAGTGATGTAGTCACAAAGCACTACATCAGTAACTGCATCGTTTAGTGATAGCAACCCCTGCAGTACATTTTGCTGTTCTTAAGAGAAGATGATGGGTTGTTAAGTGAACATCTTGCAACATTCTGCTGGCTTCCAACAACCAAAGTCAGTGGGAAGATTGGCAGGACGCTTTAAGTCCCAGGTGGCTCACAAACAAGCCTGAAGGCAGGTAAGTGGCTGCTGCTGTCAGGTGGGAAAAGATACATAAGTGTCAGGGAAGGAGTGGGATAAGTATGGCAGACTTGGGGTAACTGCTGCCAGATGAGAAACTATTAGGGTACATGAGTGGTGGGGAGACACAGTGCGAGTACAGTGGGGTTTGGGGTGGCTACTGCCATGTGGGGGAGGATGCGCAAGTGGCCAGGGAGGTCTGATGCAAGCACAGTGAGGCCTGAGGAGTGTGCGCAGATAGGGGAGACTTAACTGAGCAGCTTGTGACCTTCCTTGCTAGCTTCCGTATTAACTTTGCTTGTGGGAAGCCAGCAAAGGATGTATATTATGATCCTGCGTTCACTATGATCTTGCGTTCACAGGACACTGCAATGTTGCATATGCAAGCTGGTTGGTAAGCGTCAAGATCAGGGGTCTTCAAACTTGGTCCTTTTATGACTTGTGGACCCCTGGTCAAGATCATGAACACAAGAACTCTAGGACAGATGTGAGTTTGAGAACCAGGTGCAGTTACCACTCTTTCAATGCCATAACTTTAGATGGTCACTGAATGAGTTGTCATTAACTGAGGACTATTTGTATCATGCTGCGAAAGTAAGAGATGAAATGTTTTTAAACAACTATTTCAATTTTTGCAAATAACCCTGGTATTATTAACCTTTATGCCATCAAAAGGAAAGGCTTTCCAAAGCTTCTGTTTTTAAATGAGCAAGAGGGAATAGTATGCAATTGATAACCACAGATAGATCTTGACTTATGACCATAATTAACCCCTTACAATGGTTGTAAGTTGTGCCAGTCATTAAGTGGGTCACTATGTGACCATTCTCCATTTTACCATCTTTTTTGTGGCAATCACAATGAACCTATTTTAGCCAAAGAGAGTTTTTTGCTTGAAACTGAAAATAAACCCATATCCAGCAATAAATAAATTAAAAAATAAATTGCAGTCATGTGATCCTAGGATGTTGCAAATGCCTGTAAATGTGGATTGATTGCCAAGTGCCCAAAATGTGATCATGTCACTGCTGGAGAGTATGTGTGTGGCTGTCAGAGCTTTGGAACCAAGTCGTAAGTAGTTATAGGGAGGTGCAGTATAACTTTGGGTGCTAAGATAGTTCTTAACTTATGGCTGGTTGTTTGTTTAAAGTTACAACAGCCTTGGAAAAGGTGCATAACAGTCTACAAAGCCCATTTGGGCCTCGTAAAACATTGTTTTCCCCATGATCACATAACCACATTTTGGGGCACTTGACAACCAGCTTACATTTATGAATGACTGCAGCATCCTGTAGTCATATGACAGTAATTTGTGACTTTTTTGCCAGCTTCCAACAAACAAAATGAATTTGCCTAATGACTATGTGATTCACTACAAAAATTGTAAAAAAAAATCAAAAAAAAAATCAGGTGCCTTGACTTACAGTGGCAATAACTTATGATTGAAATTCCAGTTCCAAATGTGATTTTAAGTCAAGAACTACCTATAAGTAGTGAATTTAAAGTTTAAATTAGACAAAACTAGAAAGATAAATATTAGAGGTTACATTTAATGTCTAAAACAATAAAGCTCTCTGTCTGTATAGTAGCAATTGTAAAAAGTATCTATGTTAACTCTAAAAACATAAAAACTGCCAACTTTTATGCATCTCAAAGAATTCTTTTTCAGTGAAAGCTTCTGGTAATAAATCAAAAGCCACTACATTTTACATTATTTAAATTTACATCTAAATTAACAGGAACATGCATATTATAATCAAGATGTAATTATCTTCAATAGTTCGACGTATCAATGTACATAATATGTGGATCAACTCTAAGATGGCTGCTCCTTAGAACTTTGAAAAACATCCTAAACCTATAGATTTCCTTACAGAACAAACAAATCCATTCACTATATGTAAACTTGAGGAAATGAACATTAACTGCTGCCACTAATAAAAGTTAAACTTTCCTCAGTCAGACCTTTCAGAAAAGAAATCTATCTCAATGAAAATTATCTATTATTCACTAATAAATATGATTATTTGCCATTCCACATACTGTTCTTCAATGTTAATGTCTAGCCTGGAAGTGAGAATAGCTAAGATGATGCTCAAGAAGTATTTATAATTATTGGTAAAGATATTACTGTATATAGAAGTTTTTGACCTAGTCTATATAAATGTAACTCTGGGTCTATGGAGCAACTGCAGGGGACAAAAGGCAAGGCTGTTTTAAGGAGCCACAGGTAGATGCTATATTCATGCCCTAAACTCAGAAGCCCCTTTTTGCTTTTGAATTGGAAACCCTGCACAGTCCTACAATGTTTACTTTCATATTCAGCTGAAAATCCCCAGCAGCACTATGATAAACTGCAGCAGTGGCTAGCAAATGATACCTCTAACCTATACGTGTAACTTGAGATTTTTAGAATATTTTGTTAAACTAAAGTGTGCAAAGCAAAACACAATGAATAATTTTAATAGGTTTGATTCAATTCCTTTTAGGAATCTGAAGTATCTGTATACAGGGCCAATATTTTCTGAATCCACAACATTAATATAGTAAAGCTGGAGAATTTAGCTTTCATCAAAACTCATGATTTAATCTTACACAATGGTTAGACAATCTGCCTAAGTCACATTAAAAAATGAGCTATTTTATAAACCAATGATCTATTTCCAGCCATGAAAACCTTTAAGTCTCAAAGAACAGCCATCTAAGTCCAGCACTGAAATAAAAAAACTGTTTTGCACATTTTTAGATTTTCAGAAATCACTATCACCTCCATCATAGTGGAATTTCTTTCCTCCAAACATCAGAAACTGCTAGTAGGGCAACAGCCATTAATCTGTATACATGGATCAACCAGATGTCCATTGAGGACATTAGAGTAGCAGTTGAAAGTACATAACAAATATGAACAAAGAAATCAGGCACAAAGGACATGTATTTAAGAAAATTAATAGGGTATGAACAAGCAATATCAACACTAGGGGGTGTGGGAGAAATAGAAAACCTTGGATGATGTTGAGATCACTCCCAGGAACGAATGTGGCATTGGTAAGATACAGTGGTATAAAGTCATACTCCACTTAACATGAAAGAAATGGAGTATGCACTACTGGTGTTAGTAAAAGGACCAAAGAGTACTACAGATCACTGAACTACAGTTAGCCATACAGGTCTATGTATTAAAAAAAAATTGCCCTTCCCTTTCAAAAGACAAGGGTTATTTGAATAAGCACAGCTCATTGTGCAGCTGGAATGACAGCTAACACTTTTTTTTCTTATGGAAGGCAGAGATTGCAAAATATCAACACAATATATAAGTAAAAAGAAAAGTCATCAAGTCAGCAGTTACATTACCAAGAAATAAAGATTATTCCAGAATGGATTGTACTCTAAAAATATTAGGTGAAAGCAGGATTATCCTACATTCAAAACTGAAAAGTATAATGAGACAGAGAACAAGAACAAAGGATATCTAGACAAGATATTTGGGGTGCGGTTATCTCATAAAATAACTTCCTCAATCCAACAACCTCAACACGTTGTGGCCCAAAACTCACATCATTTTTTGCCCTTATCGGCATTGGAAGAATTCTCAGGGGGAGATGGAACCGACATTCCTACAGGCGCACCTTCATTGCCACAGGAAAAAGAAAGAGAAAGCCGAGATGGCGGAGAAAATAAAAATATTATATTGGAGGGCACAAAAGAGGCTCTCTGGAGGGAAGGCAGAGAGGCATTAAAAAAAAAAGCCGCGGGCGCAATACTTGGCACTCCCAACTCTCGCTCACCGATGGTGGAGATGAATGTGGTGTTAAAAGCATCATCGGAGAACCGGAAAAGCACGCAAGTCTTGCCAACGCCCGAGTCGCCGATTAGCAGCAGCTTGAAGAGCAGGTCGTAGGTTTTCTTCGCCATGGGGGCCCCCCCGCACCGCGTGCCACTTCCTCGCCAGGCTCTGCCTCAGCAGGCGCCGCCGCCGCCTTGGACCCTCCGAGACCCCCTCACTACTACACGCACAAGGCCGGGCTCCGCGGCGGTGGCGAAGGAGGAGGCGGCGGCAAGCTGAGGGAGGGAAGGGGAGGCACAAAATGGCTGCCTTAGTGACAGCGGCCGGGCAGGGCAAACAGCAACTGTATGACTTGGCTCCCGGCAGAGCTTCCTCACGGGTGAACAGCGATGGCGGCTGCGCTCGACTTCATGCCCCTCGGTCCCTCTTCAGGCGAGCGCTTCTCGGTTTTCCTAGTCAGTCACGCTCCGGAGGGGAGCAGGCCGTACACACGAACACCCGGGCCGAGGGACTCAGTGAACGGGTGGGGCGGGGTTACGCTCACGCAAGGGATGAGGAAGGGAGCAGGAGCGCGCACGCTGATTTGGCGGCCGCTCCCTTTCTTGCAGACAGAAGTTGCTCCCTGACGTCAAAGGATGTGAACGGACGGAGGGCCAACCCTTCCGCATGCGCAGCTGAATTGGCGAGTTGCTACACCATAGACCATTCTACGCCTGCGCGAGGCGGACTGCTGCTCTACGCACGAGCGTGCGACTCTCCAATCGTCGTAGAGCGACGTGACGCAAATGCTCAGGGAAACTTGCGGAGCTTAGAAAAAAGCAAGGATTTTTTCGTTGCGCTTCCAAAATGAAGGTTTTAAGGAAGGCGGGATTTGGAGGAAGAGTGGATCGGAAAGGCGGGGTCATAACGTTGAATGGGAACGGTTCGGTATGGAGTGTTCGCAGAGAGCCGGATTGTGACACGTGCGATCCATGCCCTTTCCTTCCCCCCCACCCTTTGGCTCAAGTGTTGCTTAGAATTTGAGTAGACTCTTAACCTGACCTGAGTTTAAGGAATGACTTGCATTTTCCCTTAGAAGGTTTCCACTTTAGGCTGCCTGTGCTTAGCCCCTCCTGCTAAATTCAAGTTTACTTATTCCATATTTATATAGGCCACCCCAAACGAGGGCATACAGTACTTCAAAGTGTAATACGTTAAAGCAGTGGTTCTCAACCTTTCTAATGCCGTGACCCCATAATACAGTTCCCCATGTTGTGGTGACCCCCAAGTGGGTGTGGCCACCAATAAGAGGGAGTAGGACAGCTAGGGAAAAGGGAAAAAAATGGCGGACAGTGTGATTTGGTGACCCCTGTGAAATGGTCATTTGACCCCAAATGGGGTCCCGACCCACAGGTTGAGAACCACTGCGTTAAAGCAATTGAAAAAGTAATTCTCAGCAATTATGGACTTCCAGCGAAGATAAAGGCCAGAGTCTTCAAATAGTATTACTTTCACTTCCTTTTTGAAACCAAAAAGCTTTGGAGCAGCCCATATTTCCTGGTATTAATGTTGTATGAGATAGGAGCCAGGGAGAAAGTCTGTGGCCTGGTTCACATTCCATGAACTTCACAAAGAGTGGAGGAAAAGAATATGCTCTCCTTAGATCAGTGGTTCTCAACCTGTGGGTCAGGACCCCATTTGGGGTCGAACAACCATTCCACGGGGGTTGCCAAACAACGCAGTCCGCCATTTTTTCCTCCTTTTCCTTAGCTGTGCTACTCCCTTTTATTCTATTGGCTTTTGAAAGCCAATAGAATAGACTCTCTTGAATAGAGTCTAATTCTATTGGCTTTCAAAAGCCAATAGGAATTGTCCAGGCTGTCTCTGCCCTGCTGAACCCACCAAAAGTCCCATTCTGCAAAAGGTGCTGCACCAGTTGAGTAGTCCTTGACTTACAACCGGTTGGGGGTCGCAGCATTAAAAAGGTTGAAAACCAGTGCCTTAGATGGTGTAAACAGATTGGATTTTGATGAAGCAATCAGTAATCTTGCCCTTGTGTTCTATACAATGATAGTTTTGGTGTCATCTCCCAAGGCATCCTTACGCAGCATGTAATATAATCTGATGGTGATCAAAGCAAGAATTAGTCAAAGTATGATAGTAATTGATTTACTGGATGTAGCTGGACAAGACTCATCCACTGACTTGTTCACAGCTTTCATCTGATTTCCTAGAGGAACTAAGAGTCCAGGAGGACCTCATGTTACAAACCAACTCTTTCATGTGAAGAATGAGCCCAGTCAGTTATTGTTAAATTGCTGAATTGTTTACTGACAAAAAATAGCTCACTCTTGGAAAGATTTAATCTGAGATTGTTTTGCCCCACCCAAAGCCTTACAGCCTCCAAATACTAGTTCAGAATCTCCATAGCATCAGTGATTCAGTTGGGGTAGTGATGTACTGTTGATACAATATGCATCTTGGTGATCCCTTACCCTGAATCAACAGATCTGCCCAGGAGTTTCATGAAGATGTTAAATAAGGTTAATGATCAGGTACTCCTAAGAGTTACAAAAGACCATTTCAGTGTAGTTGTATAGTAATTTGTAGTTCCACGGGAACTGATCTGTTGTAAAGGTAAAGGTTTCCCCTGTCTAGTTGTATCCGACTTTAGGGTGCGGTGTTCTTCTCCTTTTCTTAGTTGAGGGAGGCAGCATTGTCTGAAGGCATTTCCATGTTCCAATAAATAATACAATTGCATTAATCACAAGTATCAAGAATTGATGCTAGTGGCTCCATGGTCAATCCCCAAAGGCTTTCCAGAAGAATCAGGCTTTTATGAGCTATTTGAAGTCTATGAGAGCAGGGTCCATCCTTGCCTCGGGGCAGGAAGATGGCACAGAGAATAAGCACTGAGTCCCCTCTTGATGGGTGAGAATGATGGGAGCTGGAAAGGGGCCTCCTTGCATAAATGTGTTCAGTAAGAAGTAGTGCTTTTGATTAATATTTTTAGATCTTTGAAGTAACAAGCAAATTCCTCATCTGGAAAGTGGATTCTGATAAGAACTGGTTCAGACCGGCCAAAGATGAGAATTTCCCATATATTTGAACTTTAGTAACTTGAAAACTAATTATATTGTGAGAACCTTACCTATTGGACATACAATTGGGCATTAACAAGATCATGTTATGAGCGTTAAGGGATGCTATGAAATGTTAGATGTTACCTAGGCTACATCACAGATGTATCAAATGATGCTGACCAATGAAAAAACACATTCCAAAACCAATAGGTTTGAACTATATATTGTATAAAGCGATTCCCAATCTTTTCACAGGGCCTCTCACATTGGATTGGTGGGAGACCTTTGCTTGTTTATGCACAAATAAGAGATATTAATCTATCCTCTTTTGGGCAAAGGCACACTGAGCTAAGAATCTTGCCATCATTTATGGCTAACGGATTCTTACCAAGCACTCTCTTAGATGGGCATCTATTTTTGTTTCTCCAACAGCCCATCAGGTGCCTCCTCACAATTTATTTAATTATTTATTGAATTTATTTGCTGCCCATCTTGTAGTAAACATGGCAAGATGAAAGGATCATATTCTCCTGTTAATTCAATAATAGTATTAGGAGATATGCTGCTAAGTCCAGAGATAACACTGAAGCTTCAAGAATAATAAACTTTGATGGTCTCCATCTCTGCAGGTTTTCAAGAAAAAAAACTGAACAACCATTTGTCTGAGATGTTGTGAAGTCTCCTGCCTTCAGTAGTCTAAAAGACCTCCACACTCTCTTCAGTCCTTTGTTGCTGCTTTTGTGTTGGATGCATCAAGGCACTTCTGAGTTGAAAGGATTAGCTGGTGACATCAGCGTAGTCCAGGAGATGACTAAGTGGAGGCTCCTTTCATATCCCTATTAATGTGCCAGCCCAAGTGGTACTTATCTACTTGTGACTGCTCACTTTTGAACTGCTTGGTCAGCAGAAGCTAAATGACAAGCCCTTGCCCCGTCATGCAGCAGCACTCAGATTATTGAACACTAGTTTGCTGATTGTTAACCCAGAGTTCTAACCATGTGACTCACCACATTCTCCTCAACCCTATGATTCTATGAGTCTATGCTTCTATGACATGTCCTCCAAGAATTTTTCTAACCCCCCCCCCTAAAAAGCCATATTAGAGGCCACTGCCATGTCTTGTCCATGGATTAATTATATACTGTTTAAATAAATTATTTTGTCAGTTCTAAATCTCCTACTTAGCTTAATTGAATTACCTTTGTTTCTAATATTTTGAGAGGAGAAATAAAATTCCTTTTGATTTTCCTTGTTATATATCTTGCTTATGTTTACCTAAGTTGCCTTTTTCTAAGGTTAAACATTAGAAAGTCCCCAACATTATGACCTTTTCTTGTAAAGTAATTCTTTTGGCTGCCTTATTCTATACTGTTTCTAGTTCTTTTCCATCCTTTTTAAAAAGTGACTGCCAAAACTATATACAGTATTCTAGATGCACATTAAATTTGAATAAGGACTTTATAATTTTGGTAGCCTTTCCAAGTATTCCAAATATTTCCAAATATTCTTTGGTATGTCATTTGCCTTTTTATAGCTACTGCAGATTTACTTGGCTGTGTACCATGACCTGTATAAAAATACCCATCCACCCACAAGAGAAAGAGAATGACCAATTCTAATATATATCATAAATATTTATTTTTGTGTATTTATTAAATTTATATACTGTCCAATTCCCAATCACTCTAAATGGTTCACAAATAAACATATTTATGAAATATGATTTCAGCAACATTGATTTTATATTTATATGCTGCTTAAGGTGATAGTATATGTTTTTATGAAGCAACACACAAACTCACACAGAGATCAATATTTACATTTTGATTCTCACTGTCCACTGGAGCACAAAATAGGAGTTATCAGAACCCTATCTGTTGTTTGTCCATCGATTTTCGATGAAGACCATGACATCTTATGGGTTGTGGGCCATCAACGATGTGTCCGTAGGTGGCTAATAAGACCGATGTTAGCACAGAATGTTCTGCCACATACTGAACACAGAAATGTAGAACCCTATACTACCAAGCTGAAGGCCTACCTACCAGCAAAGATGGGAAAGAACAAGAACTAAAACACATCAAGGAAGCCCTCAGAACTTGTGGCTATCCCAGGTGGGCCTTCATCAAATCCCCAAAAAGACCCAGCAGGAGCTCCTCCACAACTGACAAAGAAGAAAACAAATAACACAACATAGTCATTCCATACGTTGCAGGAATATTGGAAAAGCTCAGGATGATCTTCAGCCAACACAACATATATGCACACTTCAAATTCAAGAATACACTAAGGCAGAAGCTTGTTCACCCCAAAGATAAAACCCCCAGACACAAACTGAGCAACGTGGTATATTTAGTACAATGCAGTGAGCCATGTGCAGATCTGTACATTGGGGAAACAAAACAACAAAACAAAAACGTGGCACAACATAGGAGAACAAACCCATCAGGACAAGGGTCAGCAGTCCATCTGCATTTAAAAGACAAAGGCCACTCTTTCAAAGACAGCAAAGTCCACATTTTGGACAGAGGACTGCTGGTTTGAAAGGAGTCAAAGAGGCCACCTATGTCAAAACTGAACAGCCTATTCTCAAAAAGGGGGAGGGATATGACATCTATCTCCAGTCTACAAAGTCCTTTCAACAGTTCCAAGAAGATCCCACCCCACCCCCCACCCCGCTTTGCACCCGGGTGATCCTGATGACAAACCTCCAGGTGGCCTCAACGACTCTCTAAAAGAATGCAAATGATCAGCTGCCTGCAAAGAGTATAAATCCAGTCAGAGCTGAAGAAGCTTCTTGGATGAGAAGTGAAACATCTTCAAAGGAAAAACAAGAAAGTCCAATTGCCTTGTGAAAAAGCATCCTTGGGACAAAAAATCTGTTAGATTTTCAGGGTGCAGATTCCTTCCACTATGTATCCATAAAGACTAGTTTCACACAATGAAAAATAAACCAGTTTTGTCCTCTTGTTGGTGATATGCACTGATGCTTTTCTTCCCTCACAGTTATAGAAAAAATAGCCATCCACAAGGTCTTTAAATGTTGGCCAGTAGCCTTATTAATCAAACCTGGGTTTCAGCCAATGGCTTCTATTACTTCCATCTAGTTTTTTTTCTGTTGTTTCTTGAGCAGAAAACTGCAAAGTAGAACATTTCCAGGAAATTAATACATTTGGTTCTTTAATGAGTCTATTGCCAAAAAGCAGCAACACTTTTGCAGTAAAACAGTGTAGGAGAAGCTCCTGGATTTTGTTTTGTCTTCTTGATTTTGAGCATGAACTCTGTATAAACAGATTAACATATTTGCTTGAGTAAATTAAAAAGTTGAAATGCCTTTTGACAGCAAATGCAATTTTAAAAGGGGCGAATTTATATTCCTCTATTTCAGAGTCACATTAAATCTGTTTTATACTTTGCAATGGTATTTATGAATGTTTTCTAGTAGAATAGAATAAAAACTTTATTGTCACTTTAAATGTACACTAATCAGCATACATTAAAATGAAATTTCATTGCATTCAGCTCTTAAAAATATCTTTATGCATATACCCACATATATACACATATATGACACATCACAGAGAAACATCACAGTCTAGTTCGAATGTATACGTATACATGGTGAAAAAAAAAGAATCCTGTGAATTTAGAAGATGGCATAAGGAACAAAGCTGTTACAGAATCTAGTAGTTTTGCTATGAATACTTTGGAACCTCCTCTCAGAGGGGAGCAACAGAAACAGACCGTAAAGTGGATGTGTGGGATCTCTAAAAATGTTTTGAGCTCTAAGCGCTTATAAGCAGTATCCTGAATAACAGGAAGCAAGCTTTGTGGGATTAATTGCACAAATATGTCCATGAGCATCTGCCCATAGACATCTCCCACAAGGTCCTTGAGATAACAAACGGACCGCTCTAGACACAGGATGCATTCATCAACCATTTGGACAGACTCTGATAAGAACGCCTGCGTAGCCTTGCATCTGGAGAGTGTCTGTTATTTGATACATTGTAACCACCCCTATATACGTCTTTTGATTACGCTGTGTGATGTAAAAACCTTAGTAACAATAAAAGAGGGTGCTGGAGTCAGCTCTGGGCTCCCATCCCGAGATACCTGTGTGCGTGTCTCATTCTCCATGGGAGACCACCACATCTGGTGACCCCGACGTGATCCACTGAGGGATACGTCCCTGCCGACCCTTTACTTATTGCCTGGAATAGGCTTGGTGCACCCGACGAAGTTGCTGGCAACTGACTCCTCTTCGTAAGTATGGGGGGTGGAATGTCTCACGCTCAAAAGCAGCATGTGGAAGAGCTGAGGCTACTTGGCAGGAAAAAATATCTTACTGATCAGGAACAGAAATTAACCCGTCACTTTTCTAAATCTGAGGCTGTAAAATTGCTTGCTTACGTATGGGCTAACTGCTCATCCTATCCGGAGTCTGGATCTTTAAAAGTAGATACATGGAAGAAAATCGGCGCTGTTCTCCATCAGTCTCCGAGAGCCCCCCCAGAGATTTTATGCCTTTGGAAAATTGCCTATACCCTGATTCAAACCCATGCTGACTCGCCTCATCAGCCTTTATTAGACCCTCCACCGTATAAAAATCTGTCTGTTATGTTGGCCACTCCCTTACCCCCTGGAGCTGGTTTTAACCCTCCTTCTGCCCCTGCAAATTTTATGGATCCTGATAAACAACAAACAGCCTCTCCTGTTCCTGCCACGTTGCCGCCTCTCTCCCGGCCCGGAATCATCCGTGGTGCTTTTCAAAAGGCTTTAAACAATGGTGATTTAAGCATTTCTGAACTATCCGAGACAGAGTTGTTCCCTGTTACTTACCAACAGACAGCAGCAGGGATAGTAGTTGATTGGGAAGCACTTCCCTTGGCTATGATCCGAGAATTGAAAAAGGCTACAAAAGATTATGGCATAACCAGTCCCTATACTAGAGGACTAATACATTCAATTGCTAGTGCATATCGAATGTTGCCTCAAGATTGGAAAGATCTGTTCCGCATGCTTCTTAACGGAACGCAATACATAGTTTTTGAATCTGAATATAAAAGAGAGGCACAAAAGAGAGCTAATCACCCAGGTTCACAATGGACAGCAGAACAACTCTTTGGAGAAGGCAATTTTGCTACCCTTAATGCTCAGGCTCAAACTTTTACTCCCTTTGCATTTCCAATTATTAATACTTGTGTTCTTTCTGCCATGGCTCGTGTTGATGAGTCTGGCACCCCGATTCAATCTTTTTCTGCCATTCGCCAAACTGCAGCTGAATCCTATGCAGACTTTGTGAATCGCCTGCAAGTTGCCATTGAGCGTCAAATTTCAAACAGAGATGCAGCAAATGAAATCCTCATAAAATTGGCTTATGAACATGCAGACTGCCAGTCCATTCTTAAACCACTTGTTTCCAGTCCCATGGCCACCCTGGCAGACTTTCTTAAAGCCTGTCGCATTGTGGGAACCAATGCTTTTCAAATGGACACTCTTGCAGCTGCAATCCAGAAGGGGAATCAACCCCAAGGCACTTGCTTCAATTGTAAAAAACCTGGTCATTTTAAAAAACAACACAGAGCCCCAGGAGGCGGCGCAGCTCGACCCGCTGCCATCCCCGGAGCCAAGCCCAAAACTGTGTGCCCAAAATGTAAAAAGGGTTTTCATTGGGCCAATCAGTGCCGCTCCTCTCAGTCCAATCAGGGAAACTAACAAAGGGGTCTGCAGCTAACCCCTCTCCAAAGGCTGCATCCTTTTCAGACTTCACTTCTGCTTCGCAATGTTTTTCTGGCATAGATTTAAAATTGGCTTCTGCTCTTTCTGTTACTTTTCCTAACCTACTCACGGTTGCTGAAACTCTTTATTCTGGACCCTTGCCTCTGGAAACGGAGGGAATAATTCTTCCCACACCTGTTGCTCGGGAACAAGGAGTGTTTGTGCTTCCAGGTATGATAGATCCCACGTATAAAGACACCCTAAAAGTCCAATTTTATACCAATCTCCCTGTCGCAATGAACCGGGGGGATACGGTGGCACACTTGGTCTTATTACCACGTGCAGCACCACCCATTCCAGAGGCTGCATATGCACCTCACTCTGGGAATTCTTCCTCTGATCTATTGGCACTAACAAAGCAAATTACTCCTCCAAAACTGGTGATGCCTTTTTTAATCAATGGCATTCTCTTTTCTGGTCTTGTAGACTCTGGTGCGGATGTCTCAGTCATAAGAACAGTGAATGGCCCTCTAACTGGCCCCTGGAATCCTCACCAGCAGTCAGGGGAGTGGGAGGACTTCAACAAGCAAGCTCCAGTAAAAATTGGCTTACTGCACAACGAATCACAAAAAGCATTTCTGCTAAATTTAAACCTGTCGTCCTCCCTCTTCACACAAATTTATGGGGCAGAGACTTACTCTCTCAATTTAATGCAAAGTTAACTCTGGAAGACTAACAATGCCTTCTTCACCCATGAAGCTTACGCTCCTTTCTGACACCCCCGTGTGGGTGGACCAATGGCCACTCACTTTAGAAAAACAAGAAGCATTGCAGAAACTGGTATATCAGCAAATACAATCTGGCCATTTGGAACCAACTACCAGTCCTTATAACACCCCAGTATTTGTAGTCAAGAAAAAATCAGGCAACTGGAGAATTATTCATGATTTACGCCTCATTAACAAAATAATTAAACCCATGGGTCCGCTACAGTGCGGAATG